AGACAAACAACACACTTTGAGGGAGGAATGAGAACACTTCTCCATGTACTCCCTCCAGCCTTTTATATTTCATACCGTATGTAAATTTTTTGTCTCTGCAATAATTCCTGCCTGCAGTTTTGCCAAGAATTGTATTCTCCTTTTTACAGGGAAAAAGTTTGTCCTTGCCCTGAAACCAGGATTTTTTCCCCCCGACAAATATTCTGGTGTTAACCTACTTCGCCAATGTGACTGAAAAAAGAGCCAATCCTGATCATTTCCCTTTACTGGACTCTGGCCATGACTTCGGCTTAGGGCAGGTCCCGCCTCTGATCTCTGTCTTTCTGCCTGGGTGCATCCTCCAGTGTGCCTTGGCCTTCTTGCACTGACCTCTCTCAAGTGCACCCTACCCAGCTCTGCCTTTTGAGAAATCTACATCATATGCCCATTTACCACATTCTATTAGTCTCCGCTTTACTGTTTGACTCTGTAATGTCAAATATATCCTGGGTCTCCAATGCCTAACTCTTCAGAAAAGAAAAGGGAAAAAAAGCACCTAGAAATTATTCACAGTCAAGGAGAAAGGCTGCATAGCACTTCTAAGAGGGGGCTTTAAACAAGTTGTGGAAAATTTTCCTCCCCTTTCAACTTCTTTTCTCCATGAACTTTTGTTTTAACTATCATACTTTTTGCATTAAATTTGAAGTCCCCTTGCATGTTACCCAGGAGCTCTTGTAGTATTATGGTTATGTGTTGGGCAGTTAAATGCAAGGTCAGCAGTTCGAAACCACCAGCTGCACGCTCCACGGGAGAAAGACGGGGCTTTCTACTCCAGTGAGAATTACAGTCTCGGAAGCCATAGGGGCAGCTCTGCCCTGCCCTATCAGGGTGTTATAAGTTGGCATCGCCCCCACGGCCGGGAGTTTTTGAGTTTGTATATGACCAAGACTAACTCTGTATCTAGTGATTCTCGGAGGACTCACAGGACTCAGCCTCAAGTTGTGCTCCCAACTTTGCACACAGCCAAAGGACGTAAAGCACAAGCAGCCAAGGGCAAAGCCACAGCAGGTCAACTCTGGGGGAATCTAGGTGCAATCTTGCAGTAGAGTCACATTCAATTCCCCCAGCAATCGGTTGTGACAACATGTGTGAAACATTGTGTCTCGGGGAAGCTCATGAGTTTCCTATCCACTGAAGGCCTTGCTCGAGGACTGGTTAGGTATATATCCTGTGCCAGACTGCCTAAAGGAACTCAGGTGTGCTGCACGGACCACGCTGTTTGCACACAATTTAAGCATGGTGAGCCATTTTTATCAGTTGGGGTGGTGAGAAACCTCACAAAAATCCAAGTTCGCAGATGTTAGCCAAGGGTCAACTTTATCCGCAGATCTTTCAAAGGAAACAGTTAGACCTGCTATGATTGACTCTTTCTGAATACCTGAGGAAGTTCAAGTAAAAGAGATCAGGTAGAACCAGGCCGAAGGCAAAATCCTTGAGGGAGAGCCAAGAGTCTGAAGATATAATTGCCAAGTTTAAAGGTCTGCGGTCAGACGTGGATGAGAATGCAATTCTAAACTGAGAAACCGAGCTAAAACCTGTTTTGTTCAGAAGTGATTGATCCCAAATGCTGCTGGGTGCTTTAAAAAAAACAACTAAACTTGCTGCCATCAAGTTGAGTGCGGCTCATAGCTACCCTATGGGGCAAAGTAGAAAATGCCCCTGTGCAATACCAAGAATGTAAATCTTTTTTTTTAATTACTTGAATAAATCATTTTATTGGGGCTCTTACAGTTCTTATAACAGCCTATACATCAATTGTATCAAGCACATTTGTGCATATGTTGCCATCAGAATGTAAATCTTTACTAGAACCAAAAGCCTCCTATTTCTCCTGTCTAGTGTTATAGAACTGCTGACCTTGAGGTTACAAGTCCAAAGCACAACCCCCTATGCCACCAGGGTACCTACAACACATTGCTGAATCACATTGCAGAACAGCATATACTCCAGATTGGCAGACCCACTCCAGATGCCCCCTGGCATAGCCAAGATGCCTCCAGGAGGAGAACGGCTTAGGCTATGTCCCCAAAGCCAGTGCCCATGTTGCAAGCCTGATCTCGTGGCCCTCTCCTGGGCCTTGCTTTTCTCACGATTCCCACTGGTTTGGTGCCAAGCCAACGCCTACTGTCTTTTCAGTGCCTGACAAGGACCCCACTAATCTTTCAGGGTGACTTTGTGGCAGATGTTGATTTACATGTTTAGTATTCCCACAGCATGGAGCTAACTGCTCTTGGAAAAAAGCCACCTCCTCACTTTAAGCTGGGTTTCCAGGATCCTTGGGAAGAATGGAACTGAATGCCCAGAATCCTGTGGGCAACATATGGTCCACCACTCTCCACTCACCTCCTCTCCTCCCCAGCCAATGCTCGAGAAATTCCAAACTCATTTCCCCTGAGTCCATTCTGACTCGCAGCCACTTTAGAGGACAGACTAGAATCGCTGCTGTGGGTTTCTGAGACTGGAAATAGAAAGTCTCAAAAAAAAAAAAAAAGAAAGTCTCTTTTTTCTAACTTGAAGCACCTGGAGGTTTCGAACTGCTCATCTTCTGGTTAGTAGCCCAATGCATAACCAATGCACTCCAGGTCTCCTCCAGATAGCGTGTGCTGTCATTGCCATCCATTCAGTGCTGACTCATAGCAACCCCTGTGGGTTTGAGAGACTGTGAGTCAGCGATGCTCAACCTGTGGGTCACAACCCCTTTGGGGTCGAACAGCCCTTTCACAGGGGTCACCTGAATCATAACTGTCAAAATTCCAGTTATGAAGTAGCAACGAAAATAATTTTATGGTTGGGGGTCACCACAACATGAGGAGCTGTATGAAAGGGTCGCAGCATTAGGAAGGTTGAGAACCACTAATGCAGGGCATTAACACATGCATAAATCCTTTATCAAACATAACTGAAAGCACACAAATTTCAGAAGACAAAATTAGATGGTTGAGACCTCCTAAAAATTAGATACTTTAAGTACAGCAAAAAAAAAATTGCACCAAAAGAATAAAGGGAGAACTCGCAGACTTAGAGAGAGAAAAAAATGGCAATGATATATTGGACAAGGGACTAATCCCTAAAATTTAGAGAAAATTTCTACACCTCAACAACAAAAGGGCAAATCATCCCAATTTTAAATGGACAGAGGACGTGAACAGACATTTCACCAAAGAAAATACTCAGGTGGCCAACAAATATATGAAGCAATGCTTTGGGGCATTCGTCATTCCAGAAATACAAATCAAAAACAATGAAATCTCATCTCAGGCCAGCACTAATAGCAAAGTTAAAAAAAAAAAGCTAAGAAAAAAATGGGATGGCAAAGGTGTAAAGAGATTGGAACCTTCATAAAACATAGGTGGGACTGGAAAGTGATGCAACAACTGTGCAGAAGAGATGGTGCCTCCTTAAAGAGTTGGAAATCAAAATACCATGTTAGTCTAGGTTGACCACAGAAACAAATCCAGACTCGCATATATGTGTGTAAGAGACAGTTTTATATCCAAGAGTAATTGTATATTTAGAAAACATCCTGGCCCAGTCCAGATCAAGTCCATAAGTTCTATATTAGCCCAAATGCCCAATACTAGTCCATAAATTCTTCTACAGAATCACACAGCACATGCAATGATGCCGAAAGCAGGAAGTCTTGTGGAAGCATGTCAAGAGTTGGCTGGCTCAGCTCACCCTGTGGCTCCTCCAGCCCCAAGGATCTGGCTGCCATCAGCATAGCTTCATGTGGCTGGTCAACAGAATCTCTCAAGCAGAGAATGTGTCCCACCTCCAGGTAGGAAGAGATGAAGTCCCAGAATCCTCATGAGAAGGCCACGCGTGTAAGGAGGGATCATCAGATTGTGACTTGATTGACAGATTAGACTCCACCTTTTATTCTTATTTATAAACTTGACATGAAGTTGTGTAACTACCACACCATGTGCTTCAGCAATCCTACTACATGGTATATATCCTAAAGAAATAAGAGCCAGGACACAAATACATACATGCACACCCATGTTCATCATAACACTAATTCACAGTAGCAAAAAGATGGAAGCAACTAAAATAATTATCAATGGAAGAATGGATAAACAAACTATGGGACATAGACATAATGAACACTATACAATATTAAAAATTAACGGTGAATTTGCAAAATGCCTCATACCATGGATGAACCTAGAGGATCTTCAGCTAAATAAAATAAATCTATCACAAAAGGGCAAATATTATATGAGGCAACTATTATTAAAAGTCAATTTAAAAATTGCCAATCTATTGCTTCTTGGCCTTTTGGCTAGGATCAAGTGTAGTAAAAATTATCACACTAAGTGATACGTTATTTGAAAAAAAAGTGAAACATTATTTGATGATTACCATGGAAGTAGTTACTAACTGGAGGGTAGACACATATGAACCTGGGGGAAGGGGAAGGCACTGCACAATAAGGAGTTCAGCTTAGGGGACTGGAGACAGTGACCTGACACAAAATGTGTATGAATTATTGAGTGGAAAACTGACTTGCTTTGTAAAGTTTTACCAATTCATAAGAAAAAGTTTTAAGAACTATATGTGACCTCCTCCCTGGGGGCAGACAACCGAAAAGTGGGTGAAGGGAGACGTCGGACAGGGCAAGATATGATAAAATACCAATTTATAAACTATCAAGGGCTCATGAGGGAGGGGGGAGCGGGGAGGGAGGGGAAAAATGAGGACCTAATGTCGGGGGTTTAAGTGGAGAGAAAATGTTTTGAGAATGATGTACAAATGCGCTTTACACAATTGATGTGTGTATGGATTGCGATAACAGTTGTATGAGCCCCTAATAAAATGTTTCAAAAAAAGAAAAAAGAAAAAGTTTTAAATGTATCTACATATAATCATTTTACCATGTAATCAAGATAAAAATTATTAATGAAGAATCTTATATTTTTTCTCATACTAAGTAGGTGTCATCTGGGGTCTATTTTATACTTGCTCACTCTCACTGCCATCGAGCTGTTTGCAGACAAAGTTCCAAAGACAGCAGGAAACTCCCGCGCTCTGAGCACTGGGGAGAAAGGTTTGGGTTATAAAGGTTCCTGCTGTCACAGAATTATCCCAGGGTTTATGTGCCAGAGGGGTGACCTCACACGCCACAATGGCACTGGGGGCAAGTCCATCTCTGGAGAGAAATCTGAAGATGAGAACTTCATCCTGAAGCACACAGGTCCTGGCATCCTGTCGATGGCAAATGCTGGGCCCAATACGAACGCTTCCCAGTTGTTTATCTGCCCCACTGAGACTGAATGGCTGGATGGCCAGCACGTGGTCTTCGGTCAGGTGAAAGAAGGCATGGACATTGTGGAAGCCATGGAGCGTTTGGGTTCCAGCAATGGCAAGACCAGTAAGAAGATCACCCTTGCTGACTGTGGACAGCTCTAATACATTTGATCTGAATTTTCATGCTTTATCTTAAGCACCAGAGCATTCTTTGTGTAGCTTGGGAAATCACCCTTCTATTCCCAATGTGCTTGCAGTGTCGTTTAATCGTGTGCTTTCACTCCAGTTCTTCGGGTTTCCTACTTTCCTTATGCCCCCTGAGTCCAGCTGGAAAGCAGAGTTAAGTTTATGATTATGAAATAAAAGATAAATAATTTTTTTAAAAAGAAATTGAGGATACACACACACACGCACACTGCTATTGAATTGATGTCAATTCATAATGACCCTATAGGACAGAGTTGAACTACCCCTGTATGTTTCTGATACTGTAAATCTTTACGTGAGTAGAAAGCCTCATCCTGCTCCTGAAGACTGCTTGGTAGTTTCGAACTAGGGACCTTGTGGTTAGCAGCCCAATAAGTAACCCACCATGCCAGCAGGGAAAAGGTTTTATTTTTCCCATTGGTTAATTTCAGGGTTTTTAAAATGCCTTAAGACCAAGAAATCAACAAGCCACTCCATCCAAGATCCCTTATTGGAAAACCCCTGAAGTCCGGAAGTTTCCAGAGGATTGTCCAACCTTATCCAGTGCCACTAAAAGACTATTTTGCTTGCTATGCTGAGCAGAGCTCCGATCGGACCCTAACAGCAGCACGAACTGGGGGATAAAGAAGGTTTCCTGTGCAAGGACAACCAGTCACAGGTCCCAGCAGACAAGGCCAGCGTCCAGGTCCTTCCGCTGGCCACAATGCAAACAGCACCACTGAGGTCCTTGCCCAATTAGTTTTGCTAATGGGCCCATAGCCAACATACAAGTAACTGTTTTCATGAGTCCAACAAACGCAAAAGGTGTTGTAGTTCTTGTTAGGTGCCATCCAGTTGATCCTAACTCATAGCACAACAGAACAAAACCCTGAACACTGCCCGAGCCATCCTCACAGTTGTTCTTATGTTTGAGCCATGGATGCAGCCGCTGTGTCAGTCCTTCTTGCAGAAGGCCTTCCTCTTTTTCACTGCCCTGCTACTTGCCCAAGCATGATGTCCTTCTCAAGAGATTGGTCTCTCCTGACAAAATGTCCAAAGTGCCTGGAGTCTCACCATCCTTGCCTTTAAGGAGCAGATGGCCCTACTTCTTCCAAGACAGATTTGTTTGGTCAATACGAAAGGTACTCTTTTTTTAAATCATTTTATAAGGGGCTCATACAACTCATCACAATCCATACACACATCAATTGTGTAAAGCACATTTGTACATTCATTGCCCTCATCATTCTCAAAACA